AAAATCTAATACTATTAAATATATGTTAATAAATAAAAATTTTTAATTAAAATGTTATAAATATTAAATTAATATATATGATCTACATAAATAAACTTTTAATTTAATAATTAATTTTTAAAAATATTATTTAAAATATAAATTTTTAGCTAAATCTTCTAAAAAAATTTTAAATGATTAAGTTTAATGCCTTTAAATTTTAAGATGGAAGGCTAATCATTTTAAAATTTTAAGTTCATAGGTTAAATAAAAGGGTTATGAGTTAATAATAAATAATAATAAAAATAAAAGAGTTATGCTAGGGTGTGCTAATAGGTACATACAATTTTTTTTAAAGACAACCACTATTTTGCAAGTGGGAACTTCTTCTTCCTTGGGTAATCATATTGTAGACAATGAAATATTATAATTATAATTTTACGTAAAATTATAAAAAAATAATTATAATGTTATATTAAATAAATATAATATAATACTTTATAAATAAATATATATGACATTATAAATAATTAAATTTTAAATAAAAAATTAATCAATTATAATAATATGTGATATTACAACTTTAATATTTTTCATAAAAAGGCATTCTATATATTTTTTCAAAAATTTATTTATTTTTTTATAATTAATTTATTAAAAAATCAAAATTATTTGACAATTTTGACCAAATCAGAACCATTTATTATGTAGCCTCCACGTAAATTTTATCGCGAGAATCACATGATGAGTGGGTTTGATATTGTCATTACTGCTAGACTGTACTAACTTTCTGCAACCGCTTAATTTTTTTTTGGCAGAAGGTGCAATTCAGCCCCTCTACGTCCATTGTTGTGGCGCATCAGCCCCTCTACCTAAAAGTAGAGCAAATCAGCCCCTTCACTTGACAAAACCGGCAAATCAGCCCTTCTGCTGACGATGACCTCATCAAATATCATCTTTCCATCCACATCCTTGTTACTCCGTTACCAAAAAGTGGCTTGGTGCTGATATGGCATTGGGTGAGTGATGTGGTCAATTTAAACTGTAAAATTACTAAAGAATCCTTATCTACTTCCTTTTCTTCCATTCATCTTCTCTCTCCTTCTTCACAGTCTCTCTCTTTGTATTGCAGATTTACTCCTTTTTTTTTTCAATAGTTTAAATTAAAATTTTCTTCAGATAAATCTAAATTTCAAAAAATATTAAAAAACTCTCAAAATATGAAAATATAAAAGTTAAAAATAATTTCAAAATTAAAATAAAAACTTGTGGCTTTGTT